GAATCATGGAACACTTCATCTAAAACTAATGATGTAATGTATGGGGATTAACATAAGAATAAAAAAAAAAAAGAATATAGAGGAGGAAACTTCTCCTAACCAGCATTTTTATATGGAGTTATTAGAGATAGGAGTATATACATATATTTGGGGTTTCATCAACAGCTATATTCAAGTCCCCAAAATGTTGCTCTGGTAAAGTAATTCTCAATTCCCAAAGTACATTGGCCTATTTTTTTTTTAAGATTTTATTTATTTATTTGAGAGAATGAGATAGAGAGCATGAAAGGGGGGAGTGTCAGAGAGAGAGGCAGACTCCCTGCTGAGCAGGGATCCCGATGTGGGACTCGATCCCGGGACTCCAGGATCATGACCTGAGCCGAAGGCAGTCGCTTAACCAACTGAGCCACCCAGGCGCCCCTACATTGGCCTATTTTATAATCTTTTTCGCACCCATTTTCTTATAAGTGAGAAACCAATTTTCTCAAGAGAAGCAAACAAACAAAACCTCATTTCAAGTCCCTGGAGATTCAAGTTGACTTTGCAAGCCAAGCTCATGAGGTGAAAGTGTTTCTAATCTTGGCAATGTACATTTTTCTTGCTTGTGAGATCTTTTCTGGTCATCACCCATGGTGCACTCTCAACTCACAGTTAATTCATCCAAACTGGCTTGCATCCTCTGGGACCCAACAGGGAAGTTTGGGCCTACTTATGACTGCAGGAAATGCTATTCTGTGTATTGTGAGGGAACAAGAAAATGATGGTTTGGATACTGTAAAATCCTGCAGTCCCTTGAGGACAATATACTTCACATAAGGCATGATGATAAAAAGATACAACAGATTTTTACACTGATCCACCAAATTCAGAGTCATAATATCATTATAGGAAATTTACACTGCCATGTAATGGGATAGTATATATACAGCTTATATAAATATCCAAATTAAGTATAAGGATTTGGTGAACATTAATGTACTTCATATAACTTACTGAAATAGATGTCCTGCTGACAGCACCAGGAAAATTACTTGCTTGACAGAGAGTGTAAGAAATACAGTTCTGGGTATAGAAATATCTTTTTATCACTTATTTTTCAAAATAAAGTTATATTTATTGTGAGAAGTTTTACAAACTCTATAGATTTTGTATCTGCTAACTCCTAAAATGATTGCCTAAGGGTGCAATATTTCTGAAGTGTAAATTAGGCTTTTGGTTTCTGTCAAAAGTTGCATCAGTATTTTCTTACACATATGAACATACTGATTTGCATTCTCAGAAAAATGCCCCTATCACTTATCACAGAGAAAAATGGAAACCTAGTTTTCATCTTCAAATCATGAGGACATAATGCTAGATGTTGTTGAGTAAAAGCCTGTAAAATTAATTTGGATTCCAATTTATTTAACTATTTTACTTTTTGTGGGAACTGACTGTAAGCAATTTCATCATATTCTACTACACTAGAATTTGGGCATTTAGGAATTAGTCTTGGAAAATCAAATCTACTATTTAAATAACAGTTTTCAAATTTTTTAAATTTTTGTAATATTACATCATGTCTCAACAGACTCTGAAATAATCCACTGGTATATAGTCAGCATTTATAAACATGAGAAACTGGAAGAGGATACCATATTAAAGAGGACATATTTAGGATGTTGGAAGACAACTCTACTTCAAGGAATTTAATTTTTTTTGTCTATCCACTTAATTGGGGCCCTGAAATTTTTCAGACATCATAATCTGAGTAAAATAAAGGAAAAAGGAACCCACCCAGGAATTATATAGGGAAGCCCAAGAATGCAGTCCCTGAGAGAAAGGGAACTCATGAGATAAACCTCATGATGATCCTTGTTTCTGTCTGCAGAATATTTCCAAACGGCTATAGCAAGCTGAAGTCCTAGTAGAGGACAGTAGTTCTGCTGTGCTGAAGAATGAGAGATCAGAGTTTGTAGCTACTGAAGGGGCTGGAATTGGTGCAGCACAGAACTGGAGAGGGAGGGTTCCCTCTACCTCTGTGGCTGAAGTCTAGGTTTGCATACACAGAGTGAGACTATGCAAGGCTTACCAGAAAGCAGTTGCATTATAGGTCAAATCTGCAACAGTAGAGACCTGCCCCCAACAGGATAGAAAGAATTCCTTAACACTGGAAACAAACTGAGACACTAGAAAGGCTCAACCTTTAGGAATAAGGATGCTCTCAGGACCATGGGCTACTCTAAACATCCCCCCTGCCGCCAACAAGTTGTCAAGGCAAACTCAGATGATCTAAGGAAAAACCAATTCTGGAGTTCGGGTCCTGTTACAGTGACTTGGACTTGCTGCAAATTTATCCAAACAAAGGGTAAAACTAATATTACACAATTTAAGCTTATCAGCCAGTTACTGAACTGTTTAATACAACAAAACTTAGAAACTTTCAGAGGAAGACAATGAACACAGCACCTCTAAATTGTCATAATTAATGTCTAGTACACATAAAATTAGACATGGAAAGAAACAGAAAAAATGTAATCCATAATCAAGAGAAGTCCAATAACAGGAAGAAAAAATGTACATAAAATGTACAGATGAGTTAGTGATGACTTTTGAAATTAAAAACAGATGGGAATCTCTCTGAAAATGTACAGATGATTTGAACTCATATATCAAAAAGGAAAATGATATATTTTCAATAAGCATATGCAAATATTCACACTATTATTAGTTACAGAATACAAACTAAAACCACGATTAATCACTAGTATACTATACACTAAAATAAAAGTACAATAATGCCAAGTATTGGCAAAGATGAGTGCAACTGGAAACCTCATGCATTGGTGGGGATTGTGTAAAATACTCTAACGAGGTGGAAAATAGTTTGGTAGTTACACAAATACATTTACCATATTATTCACCAATTCCACTCACTAGTAGATTATCCTAAAGGAATGCAAACTTATATCCACAGAGAAGGCTGTGATCAGAAGGAGCAATCAGTGATCAGAGAACAGATCCTCAATATTTGGAGGAGAGTCCTTTTGGCCCACTCTTGCTCCTAAAAGCTGTGTTCGAGCTGCTCCAGGAACATGTGCACAGCTGCCTATCCTGGGTCTGGAGGTAGGGGACAGGTAGCATGCTAAGAGCTGAAATTGCTGGAAATCAACCACGATTTGCCTCCAAGTCTTCTATTAAGTTATAAACTTCCACAGATGCCAGACTTCCAAAATTGTTACAACATACAGATTCTGCCAGTGAGGTGGTTGTGGAGGGCGGGAGACCTTTTCCTAGCGCTTCCCACTCTGCCATCTTCCCAGAATCCTGCTCCTTGTACTGACTGGTTCGTGAATGTTTAAAAAAAAAAAAAATCCTTGTATTTCAGGAATTAAAAACGTGGCTGTATTATCCTTTTTAATATGTTTCTTGAATTTGATTTGCTAGTACTTTGTTTAGAACTCATAAGATAGTTTTCCTTTCTTGTAATATCTTTATAAGTTTCCTGAAAGCTTCATGAAAGGAGTTCTGAGGTGTTCTCCCTTTTTTCCATTTTCTAAAATACTTTGGTAAGACTGATGTTACTCTTCAAAAGATTGAAAAATTTACTGATGAAGCCATCTAAGCCTGGAGATATCTTTTGTGGGAAGTTTTTAATTACAGATTCCATTGCTATAATCGATATTTAGATTTTCTAACTCTTCTTGATCATTTTTGACAGAATGTGTTTTTCTAGGCATTCATCAATTACATCCAAATTTAAACATTTGCTATATTGAAGTTTTATATTAAAGTAATACTCTCCTATTATCTTTTCAATGGCTTTAGAATCTGTATTCAAGTCATCATTTTCTTCCGGCTATGGTCTTCCACTTTTGTTTCTGTGGGGTGACAGGTTTAGTCAAATAACTTTTGGATTTGTTGGTAGTTTCCATTACAGGTTTGTTTTCTGTATCACTGTTTCTTTTCTTAATTCCCTTTTCTCATAAAGGTTAGGTGTTTAATTTTTTCCACTTCTTGAGAGCACAGATTTTCAGTCTTTATTTCTATTATATGGCTACAAATTTCTCTTTAAACGTGACTTAATTTGAAACCCACAAATTTTTAGATATTTCATTATCATTCAAATCAAAATATATTTTAATTTCCATTAGAATTGTTCTTTGACCCATATAGTATCTAGATATATATTTCTCAATTTCCAAATATTTGAGGATTTCCTTGTTATCTTTTATTATTGATTGTAACTTTTACTCTATTCAGAAAACATAATCTATATTATTTACTCATTTAAAAATTGTTGTGACTATTTTATGACCTGACTTGTTATGAATTTGATAATCACTCCAAGATCATTTAAAAATATTTTGCAACTTGGGGTGCCTGGGTGGCTCAGTCAGTTAAACTTCTGACTCATGGTTTTGGCTCAGGTCATGATCTCATGGGTCATGAGACTGAGACCCACATCAGTCTCCATGCTCATAGCACAGTCTGCTTGGGATTCTCTCTCCCCCTCCCCCTCTGCCCCATCCCCAGCACGTACTCTTTCTCTTAAATAAAATCTTTTAAAAATATTCTGCAACTGTTCTGTAGAGCTTTATCTTCTCTGTAGAGCTTTCTATAATTAAATATATTAATTATCTTAAAATTTTCTATAGGTCTTTGACTTTCCATCTGCTTGAGCTATCCATAATTGAAATGGGTATGTTAAAAATTCCCACTATGTAAATTTTTCTAATTTTCCTTTTTGTTTTATATGTTTAAAAGTTATGTTATATAGGCATATATATATTTAGAAGTTTTTTTTAATCCACTCATTGCATTGATCTTGCAATATTATGAAATATAGCCTGGTTGGGTTGCCTGGGTGGCTCAGTTGATTAAGCAGCTGCCTTCAGCTCAGGTCATGATCCCAGGGTCCTGGGATCGAGCCCCACGTCTGGCTTTTTGCTCAGCGGGGAGCCTGCTTCTCTCTCTCCCTCTACATGCTACTCCACCTGCTTTTGCTGTCAAATAAATAAAAATTCTTTAAAAAAAAAAGAAATATAGCCTGCTTTATTTGTAGTACTTATTAACTTAAAACAAATTTCCACTTGTATTAATATTGTCATAAAGGTTTTTTGGATTAATATTAGTGAGACATATTTTTTTTTGCCATCCTTTTGCTTCCAATCTTTGTATGTCCTTATATTTAAAGTATGCAATATAGAGTTTATATGCATATATGTGCAATATATAGTTTAGGTTGTCATCCATCCTAACCATTTTATTCCGTTAAATGAACATAGTCCAATTAAGTAATATTAACATGTAATTGATGTGTTAGGTTTTAATCCCTCTTCTTACTATTTGTTTTCTGTCTGCTTCTTCTGCACTTTACTCCCCTTTTTTCCTTTTCTCTGCCTTTTATATTAGAGTGTGACTGATAGGTAGAAGTAGGGGAGCACAGCCTTTCCCCTTTTATTTTTCTTGCTGTTATTGTGGGCATTTCTCCGGAAATGGTAGCAGCCATTGGTTCCCATCCATAAATTTTTAAAATATTACTATATCCAGCTTCAGCATGATGCTCACACATACCACTGCCAGACAGACAAAGCCCATACCTTAGAAATCAGAGTTCCTGCTACATGAGGCCTCACTTAGTTTACTCATCCTCAAATACATTGATCATGCTTCTAACTCAAAGGTTTAAAAACTAAATAATTTAAAGCATATCCAACACTTGGAATGGTACATGAACATTATAAGGTATATAATATAATCAATTTATACCAATATATATCAATATCTAACATATACATGTATGTATATATATGTAACATATCCATCCCTTGACCTTGAAAGATATACTCTATAAAAATGGATTACATTTTTTGAAAGATTCTAAATAAATTTAAGGTAAATAATCATATCTCATCATGAGAGATGGTATAAGCAGACCCTATGACTTTTGGAATCCTCAGAAAGTTGTGATTATTATAGGAGTTGTAAAGTTATACACAATAAATATACTATATATCTTTAAAGGTTCATGCATTCATAGGTAAAATAAATTAGATTTTCATTTAAAATTCATTAATTAGAGAGTACAAACGTGGGCAGGTTTGACTACTACATATTCTTTTCAAATGAGTATTTAAAACAATGCCTATTCCTATGCAGCAATCACTCAGATTGAATCTTGACTTCAAAGGCCAATTTGTATTCAAAGAAAATGTTATTTGTAGCAAGAATTCTAAATTATAGTGTGAAAAAAATTTGCTTCAGTTATAAAACAAATTATACGAGGGGTGCCTGGGTGGCTCAGTTGGTTAAGCGACTGCCTTCGGCTCAGGTCATGATCCTGGAGTCCCGGGATCGAGTCCCACATCGGGCTCCCTGCTCA